AAGTCCATACACATGGGCTGTGTAATATAACACAGGTTATATTACATAGTGTGTTTTTGGTATCTGTGTCACTGTGGTTTGAGGAAAAGTCCCCTCGACCCCCGTGTTTTTACTTACACCAGTGCAAGAAATCTAAATGTTTATCTAGGTCTTTAAAAATCATCATTTACAATAAGTTTGAGCTGTAGACAGTGATTATATTTTTTTCTTGCCTAATTTATCTGACTAGACTTTTCTTTAAATGCTGTCTAGAAGCAATGTGAATGGGCCTCTCACACTGGTCTTTTGCTTGACCAAAATTATTTACCTTTTCTCAAGATTTATTTTCACCTATGTGTAAAGTGTGTCTGTGTATACATATGTGCATATATGTGCAAATGCCCACTAGAGGACGTCACATCCCCTTGAGCTGGAATTACAGACAGTTGCAAGCCATCATGTGGGTGCTGAGAATTCAACTGGTGTCCTTTGGAAGAGCAGCCAGTGCTCTTACCTATTGAGTCATCTCTCAGCTCCTATTCATCTTTTCTTTTTCCTTTTTTTCATTCTGAAATACTTATTAGGTAGTTTACACAGTAGACATTATTTTATCCCTGGGGATACAGTAGTGAATTAAGGCCCAAAGTCTTGTTCCTACTGGGGAAAGCGATCCCACACCGAATGGACGACTATACAACAAATATAGCACAGTTACAGAGTTGGTACAGAACATAAGGCCAAAAAGCATGATAGGCCCAAGGGGTTAGAGTTACGTCTAGCCATCCTCAGACAGAGCAGGCATAGCCTGAGGAAATTATAGCGGGTGTCTTAGTTTACATTCGAGACATAGTTGGAATAGTAACTAATTATTAGAAACAATAGAGATCTTATATTTTCCATTATGGGGCCAACATAAAATTTTTCTGAAAATATTTTATTTGTGTGTGTGGCATGCCATGACAAGTGAATAGATGTCAGAAGACAACCTATAGGAGTTAGTTTTCTCCTTCCTTTAAGAGGCTCCTAGGGATCAAACCCAGGATGTCACTTTTTTTTTTTTTGTAAGAGCCTTACTTAAGCCACTATGCCATCCCACAGAATCCCTGAAAATAGTTAATAGTTGAAATATTCACCTTATACTTGACACCACTGCATTATAACTATAAAAACAAAGTTTCCGGGAGTTGGTGGCGCACGCCTTTAATTCCAGTGCTCGGGAGGCAGAGGCAGGCGGAGCTCTGTGAGTTCGAGGCCAGCCTGGTCTCCAGAGCGAGTGCCAGGATAGGCTCCAAAACAATACAGAGAAATTCTGTCTCAAAAAGCCAAAAAAAAAAAACCCACCCCAAAACATTAGGTTATTGTTATTAGTGTTATTGCTATAGTCAGTTAAATTCATATAATTCATTTCTAGTTTCAGTTTATCTGTTTTATAGAATTAAATTATGTCAGGGAGGGATATTATCTTTAAAGTTTTCTTTTTTTCCAAGTAAATGGGCTGGACATGGTGGCACACAACTTTAATTCCCACACTCAGAAGAGAAGACAGAGGCAAGTAGATCTCTGTAAGCTGAAGGCTAGCCTGGTTGTCATAGTAAGTTCCAGGCCAACCACCACCACCACCACAACAAAAAAGACTGGTTTTGGCACAATCATTGTGCCAGATTTTGAGATTTGTCTTTTCTCCTTCATTGGAATTTAAAGCACCCTTTCAAGGAACTTCTGTTTATAGACCAAATGCTTGTGAGGCAATTCGTGTCTTCTCAAAAGCCGACAAAAAGCCACAGTATTGAAATGGGAGCTTAACTGCTTTATCCAGAGCCCAGGGGTTCACACTTTCCTGCCCAGGATGGAAATCTCCCAGGATGCACCTGAGTCTACACCCAAGTAAGGCGTGGGTGCAGTTGTAATGAAGCTCTGTTGTATTCACTTGGGTGATTTTTAAAGCTACAGATCTTCAAGTGGGTGGAAGGATGTCACAGGATGCTTAGGGTGTGTTTCTAATGTACTTGAAGATAGCACTTCATGAGAGCAGAGAAAGTTAGATGAAAATGAAGACCCATGCTGGCTGTGAGCGTCACATACCAGGTCCCTGAGTTGCCTGTGTGTCTATGTGTGTGTCTGTATATACGTGTGTGTGTGTGTGTGTGTGTGTGTGTGTGTGTGTGTGCGCGCGCGTGCAGTCATGCTGCTTCATACTTTAGGCTACCTCACCTGTGAACTTTCAAAGTTTCTGCTGGTTCTACCTCTCCCATCTCATTTAGGAATGGTGAGATTATAGATATGTAACTGGCTTTATGTGGGTTCTGAGGGCTTGAACTCACGCCTTCACACTTGTGTGCTAAGTGCTTCACCCACTGACACCTCTGTCCCTTAATCACTTTAACATGTGACATGATGACACTATCATCTTGCTTATGTGACCCCACAGGTCCTGGGCTCTCTGGACTTCTCCTGACACCCCTCCACCATGCCTTCTTTCACCTTGAAGGTCACTGGAGGCTTGGAGCTTGAGTTAGACCACATCTTCGAGGCATTTAGGATCACATCTAGGTTTTTGCTCTAAGAACCAGACTGTGCACATGGGAGACTGTCCTGGCTCTGCTTCCTAAGCAGAGTGGATGGGAACTGAACAGACAGCACAAGAGGCAGAATGACTAGCAGAACCCCAGAGTGGCAAGGTGGAGAGGAGTGGCCTGGATTCAGGTCCAGGACTTGACTTCCGGGGCCCCCTTCCTGACAGGTACCCAGAAGCCCCATACCACACCTTGGCACACCCATACCAGGTGTGCACAGTGCAGGGGAAAGGCCACTCTTTCTTTGTTCTGGTGGGACATTTCAGTGCTGCAGTGTCCTCCTGGGATGACACCCATACCCACAATCCTGCCCTGCCATGTGTTGTATGCTAGAGGTGTAGGCTGTTGGGCAGTGCTCCAGCTATCCTCTCTTCCAGGGACCCCTACAGGACTTGTGACAGAGGACCTATCCTGGGCATTCCTGTATCTGTGTGTAATGTTCACCAGACGCAGTGTTCCTGCAAAAAGGCTGTCCCCCACCCCCGCTGCATTTCCCTTTCAGTGCAAAAACTCAATCTGTTGTTATGCCCAAGGATAAAATTCATGTAAAGCTGTGGTCCACTCAAGCATAGCCTTGAACACAAACCAGTGGCCTTCCTTGTAGGAGCTCCCATCTTTCTTCAAGGTAGGTTGATGAAGGTGGTCCTCTCGGTCACATACATGGATCTTTATAGCTCTGTCCCCCACTGAACCATGCTTGAGCCAAGTCTTGATGCTATTCAGCAGTTCTTTGATTCCTGCTCCATGGCTGTGATCTTCTGAGCTGTACATGCAAGGTCCACACACCGGAGAGAAACGGGGATGGTTTGCCAAAACTTACAGGGACTAGGTGGATAGTTCTAGAAGTACTCTCTGCAGTTAGAGGCCAACAGTGGGTTCCAAGGGATGGGGCAGAAGAGAGACAGATAGGTCTGTGTGTACTTTCACCAGGCTGTGCAGAGACGGTCCAAAGAAATGCAGTCTCAGTGTTTGGGCTGCTGTGCACTGCAGCTCTCTGTTGGTTAGTTCTGTCAGCTCGACACAACCTAGAATCACTGGGAGAGGGTCTCAATGAAGAGTTGTCTAGATCAGGTTGGCCTGTGGCATGCCTGTAAGGGACTGTCTTGTTTGGTCCTTAAGATGAGAAGATTCATTCACCCTGAATGTAGGTGGCACCAGAGCTGGGACCCGAACTGTATAAGAGAGAAGAAAGCAGGGCTGGAAAGATGGCTCAGAGGTTAAGAACACTGGCTTCTCTTCCAGAGGTCCTGAGTTGAATTCCTAGCAACCACATGGTGGCTCACAACCATCTATAATGAGATCTGGTGTGCTCTTCAGGCCTGTAAGCAGACATGCAGGCAGAACACTGTATACATAATAAATAAATAGTTTAAAAAAAGAGTGAAGGAAGTCAGCAGGCGTCACCAGGCAGGTGGCATCTGTGCTTTCCCCTCTGTTCTTTACTTTTTTTTCTGGGAGGGTGGGATTGAGACAGGGTTACTTTTTGTAGCTCTGGCTGTCCTGGAGCTTGCTATGTAGACCAGCTTGGATTGGAACTCCTGAGTTCTTTCTGCCTGCAGAGTGCCATGTCCGGCTCCTCTCTGCTCTTGACTGTGGACGTGATGTGATAAGCTTCTCCAAGTACCTGCTTTGATGTTCCTCATGACTGTGACCTGGAATCTGAGCTGCTTTGTGTCAGGGCATTTTATCACAATAGAAAGGACACCAGAACAAACCCCACAGGGTAACTGAGTTTCACTGTTTTACAGGACTCTGCAAGTTTTCCCTAGAAACAGCCTCATATAAAATCTGTTCCAGTCCTACAGCACAGGTTCTTATTCTGGATCGTGTTATTAGAATGACTGAGAAGCAGAGGAGCATGGGTAACCCTAGAGTTTACATTGCACCCCAAGATCTACATTCCTAACAGTTCTCAAGAATATTAATATAGACCACATTGCCATGTACACACTCTTTACCTTAAATTCTCAAGGTGATCATGACTGTTGTCAGGAAATAACCTGGAGGCATTTTCTGCATTCAGTCCTGCCTCAGTTTCTCTCAGTACAGGATGAAGTGTCACTGTTTTCCTCCAGGTATTAGGAAGAACTTCATTTCTTTCTCTTTCTTTCTTTCTTTCTTTCTTTCTTTCTTTCTTTCTTTCTTTCTTTCTTTCTTTCTTTCCTTCCTTCCTTCCTTCCTTCCTTCCTTCCTTCCTTCCTTCTTTCTTTTGAGACAGGGTTTCTCTGTGTAGCTTTGGAGCCTATCCTGGCACTTGCTCTGGAGACCAGGCTGGCCTCAAACTCACAGAGATCTGCCTGCTTCTGCCTCCTGAGCGCTGGGATTAAAGGCATGCACCACCAACACCCAGCTAGAACTTCATTTCTTTAGGCAGACAGGGGTCAGTTGTAGTCAGACTTAGGAGTCCTACAAAGATCATCTAGAACTCAAGAAATGGCTTCATGCTGAAGAGAGTTTACTGCCCTTTCAATAGACCTGTGTTGGCATGTTATGTGGGAACATGTCAGGTGGCTCACAGCCTCCTATAACACTAGATATAGGGGAAAAATCCAATGCCCTCTTCTGGCCATTGAGAGCAACTGCACTCATGTGCATATAACCTGCATAGACACACATGAATAGATTGATGTTATTAGGAATAAGAGTAAATCTTAAAAAAAAGATCACCTGCTATTTTGTTCTTATTCACATTTTCAGAGAAAATTTGTTTAGCCACACTAAAGGAAAACTCCAGTCTTGGTATTTAGGAAAAAAAAAAAGAGTTCATTCCTTCATCCTTCCAAACAAGGTACGATACAACTGAGTAACAACACACATTTCTGAAAAACACAACAGTATCTTATATTCTTCACTACTCTTTAAGTATAATTCAGATATTAAGGAAAAATGCTTCTAATCACATTAATACATTACAGAAACCAAAATTAACTTACCACATACAATAAATTAAAACATTACATATTAACCTTCAGTGCATCATATACAGAAATCAGAATGATGAGTTCTAAAAACAGCATCAGGTTCTTATAATAAAGTTATTACACTATGGAGAGGAGTTGCTTTTCAGTACTTTGTGTGCAACACTACGTCTTTGAGACAAAAACGATGGCTTCAGGGAATAAATCTTACACCAGAACATTAAAAACAAGCATAATCCAGGTGTGGTGGCACACACCTGTGACCCAGGAGGCTGAGGCAGGGGAATCATGGGTTCAAGGCTGGCCTGGACTATAGAGTGAAACCCTATGTCAAAATGTATGTGTTGTTTAATATGACCTCCCCTTGGTCTGGGAGAGACAGGCTTAGAACTCACCATAGGACTGGGCCTGTAGGTGGTGTTAGAATGTTGTTGGTCCATCCAGAGGCTCACGGGCACTAGGAAACCTGGCCTGGGGACCCCAGGTGGCTTTCTGTACTTGAAGGGAACAATCTACCAATTAAACCAGTGTGAGTGTTTAGGACCAACTCTTCCCTCTCCCCCTTTTTTTAAGGGAGAAGAGGGATCTTGGGACTATTGTTCCCACCTTTTTCTGGGCTTGGTTCTGTGTATGTCCACCTGGAATCTATCTTTCAGGTTGGAGTCACCACTGTATTTTTCCACAGAGAAAAATTGTCCCATGGTGTGTTTAAAGTCACAACTAGAGGTGTGGGAGCCTTGCTAAAATTCATTTTGTTTTTAAAAATTAGTGTGTGTGTGTGTGTGTGTGCGAGAGAGAGAGAGAGAGAGAGAGAGAGAGAGAGAGAGAGAGAGAGAGAGAACATGTGTGTAGAACAATTCTCTCCTTCCACCATGTAGGTCCCAAGGATTGAACTCAGGTCCTCAGGGTTGTTGGTAAGTGCTTTTACTCACAGAGCCATCTCAATGTCCCTAGAATTAATTTCAGTTCATTCACTGGGTATTTTCATAGTCCCCCGAGTCACTGGAACAGCTGTGCTGTTCACTGTCCTGTGTGGCTTAGCAGGAGTACTCCTTATTTATAGATGCACTGAACATCAAGAGAGGGCCAGGAAGTACAGTGTCAACTGACAGGAGGGTGCTGTGGGAAGCCCAGTGTGAACTGACAGAGCACTGTGAGGAGTGCAGTGTGAGCCGACAGGAGGGTGCTGGTAGGCTAACCAGGGCTATCTGTGCTGTGAGGTGTCCCAAGAAGGAAAATAGCATTTGTCTGACTTCCAAAATCAAAGTCACCAAAAAGCAGGGCTGTCATCTGCTGGGGCAGGGACAATGTACAGCCAGACTTGTCTCCACCTAGTCTCAGCTTCTGACTGTTCAGACCCATTATTTTGCAAAAGGCCTAACTGGGAAGGCACTTCGAGGGGGCATTTGAGCCAGCTGCATCTGGGTACAGGCACCAGGAGGGCTACCAGCTGCTGTGATAGGCTGGACCTGAGAACTGGAATGTTCAGACACCAAGCTGAGGTCCTCCTTGGGATCCTCTGCCTCCACCATCATGTCTTTGTCCTAATTTCCCCCACCTCTGCTGAGTCTTGGATGACAATTCCTGGTAACATCTTTAGGATGGGACATTCCCATTAATACTTTGATATCAGTTCAAACCCTTGGAAATAAGTCAGATGTCCAGGAGCATCCAACAGACCAGAAAAAGACCTGTCATCTGAAAATAACAGTGTGCACTAAACTAAAACAAGCCCCACACCTCCATTTGTGTCGGTCCCCATGAGCAGGACTTCAGACAGGGTCTGCTGGGAATGCTGGAAGCCAACAATAGAGGTCTAAAGTCCAGTGCAGTTGATTGGTCTCTGAGCAGCAGGCTACACTCGACCTTGACCCACATGAATGATACCAAGGAATGCAAACTTAACCTATTTTCTTTAGAGATTGAAAAACTCTGCTGGGCATGGTGGTGTACACCTGTAAGCCCAAAACTCAGGAGGCTTGAGCAGGAAGATCGAGAGTTCAAGGCCAACCTGAGCTACACAGCAAGACCTTGTCTCACAAAAACAAACAAACAAAATACCAAAACCAAAATAATAATAATAATAATAAAATAACGAAAATTATGACTTCTGCCTAGAGCTGTGTCAGCTCTGTAGTTAGAGGACAGCATTGAACAGACCAAGTTTCTTCTTTTGGGGCTCCAGGCATTGTGAACAAAGAGTGTCAGGGCTAAGACCTGGGCCAGATCAATGCCTAGATCATATGAGAAGAAAAAAACCCAGAGGAAAAGGTGGAATGGAGAAGAATGAGGAACAGGCAAATCTTCCTGATAGAAACCAAACTGATTCAGTATGTCAAATGTCCCTGTCCTGATGCATTGTGAGAGGCTATGGAGGGCTGACAGGGGCGGGCTTACACTTCTGAGTTACAGAGTGACCTCCTCAGTAAGCAGCTTTATATATTTACTGTCATTCTGTCTTGAGACAGTACCGAGCAGCCTAGGGATGAGGGTGGGCCCAGTGGGTCAGAGCATCCTCATGTGCTCAGGGAACATGTCTCTTTCTCCAGAGGAGAGTAGAGAGGCTTGGCAGCAATTTTGTTAATAATGCCAACGTCCTGAATGGGAACAAAACAAAGCAAAGCAAAGCAAAACAAAACAAAAAAACAACAGTGGGATATTTATCCCAATGCTTGAAAATAAATAGGAAAGTTAAATTTCTCCTTCTAAAAATAAAGCAAAAACCAAGGCAACAGCATGGAAAATAAAGGGCTGGTCCGCTTCATGGATTTGGCCCACAGCTGGCTGCTAAAGCTGGGGCTGGGCTCACGAGGAAGTTAATCCACTTAATCAAGCGTTGGCATGTGTCCTCCCTAGGTGTCCACACAGGCTCTCTTGTGCTCTTGCCCCCATCAGGGGGGATTCTCCATGCCACTGGCCTTGCTAACTTTGCTACAGTGTGTTTCTGGGGGACTTTCCTGCTTTGTATCTTAGAGGGCACCACCTCCAAACAGCAGTTTTGCTTCAATCAGAGTGCACTTTTGAATGCTGTCTCTACAGCCCCTGGGAGGCCCCCTCTCTGCAGTCTTGCTGAATCAAAGCGGCTGGACGTGCCTCTTTGGTGTAACTTCACAGTCAGCCGTCCATGTATCATTAATGCCTGACATTAACTTAAGAGATTAAAAATAAAACCATTATCCATCTAATAAATAAGACACACATCCCGGCAACAGCTTGAGGAGATGTCAAGGCTCCTGGGATGCCACGGTGTCTTCATACAACAAGAGGCGTTTCCTTTTGTCCATTTTGTCCATCAGCCAAGGAGTCTCTGCTGGGGGCAGATGGCCCACTGAGAAGAAACAGCCTGGAAGCCATGGCTGGCAGGAGACACCAACCCAAGCACTTGCCAGGGGTAGGTTAGCTCCAAGGCTAGCCCTTTGAGGTTCTTGTTCAACTTGTCTTAAAATGTGGTCTACTGGCCTCTTCTCTAGGGTGTACTGAGGAAGCCCAGCAGGCAGAATTATCACACAGTCTTGGAGGCCTGCAAAGGACAGAAGGCTGCACAGACGATTGCGCAGTGAGAGAAGGTCCGCCAGCATGTCCGAGGTGCCTGGTCACTGCTGGTGGTGTTATCCCAAGAAGCTTTTCTGTCACTGGGCTGCCATAGGCCACCTGGGCAAATTCCACCTCTGGGATCTTCAGACCACTGGCAGAAAAGAAAGACAGGGTGAACAATGTGGGCCTGAGCCATTCTGGAGAGACTTTGAGGCAACATCATCCAGTGTCACTCACTGGCTTCTCTCAGCAGCCAAGTTGAGTTCTAGCTCAGCTTCAGGGGTATCAACCTCTGAAACTTTCAGTGACAGAATATGAGTTACAGTAGAGGGGAGTGGGGTTTCAGTGACAGAATACGAGTTACAGTAGAGGGGAGTGGGGTTTCAGTGACAGAATACGAGTTACAGTAGAGGGGAGTGGGGTTTCAGTGACAGAGAAAGATGAGCTAGAGTAGCGAGGAGGTTGGGGGAGATACTTCTATCAGGAAGGCTGTAGTTTAGCCAAACCCATGGCCAGTACCCCTGTCAGGAGTGGGAGGGGAAAACAGCCCCTCACTCCCCTCCTGTTTTGTCTCAGCACCTCTGTGAAAGCTTGGAAAATGGGGACCATTTTCTCCACCTGGCAGTACCTCTCCAGGAAGAAAAGGATGAAAGCCACCCTGTACAAGCCTCCCTGTACCTGTCTCAGAGTGGCAGCAAGCGGTCCTTCCCTTCAGGAGGGCGCTGGGCTTCTCGTGTCTGCAGACGAGGGCACGGCACCACTCACAGTGTTTGCGGACGTGGCAGCAGCTGGTGACAGAAGGGACAGGCTGAGCTGTACCTGCCTGGCAGGAGAGTCCAGCTGGGTAGCCCTGGGTGCTCACTTAGCCTCTCAGAGCATCAGTCACCTCAGGACCCTGAGGACCTGGACAGATACCAACATGCCTCAAAGTACCTGTTGGCTATCACAAAGTGTCAGCACTATTGCTCTAGACTCTCTGCGTCACTTGGCTCCAGATTCCCTACCTGTCTGAGGGGACAGGCCATCCACCTAGAGGCTTGCTGTCTCCATAAAGGGCCAGCTGAGAAGTTCTGCCAGTGTAGCAATGGCCTTGCAACAGACATAAGGACAAGGACCAGAAGACCCTGGGGTTGGAGGTCATGATGCTTCAGGAGGTGGCCAAGTCTAGGAGAGTCACTGGACCTGTGCCTCACATGTCCTAACAGCAGCAACTCACCAGGACAGTGTCTTTGGTTGGTCTGTGTGTAACCTGGCCAGTCACGGAGGACAAAAGCCTGGCATTGCTTTCACATCCAGCCTCATCGAAATAGCCTTTGTGCTTTCTCCAATCCCAGCCTGAGTCAAGCAGAACTGTGCTGACAGGTTGCCTTTAACTGACCAAGAGCACCCTGTGCCAATTCAAACTAGGTAGGAATCCTCTGAGCCCTTTGACTTAGACTAAACTGTTCCAGGGATTAAGTCTGGCTTGGTGTCTGCTTCTGGGAATACAGCACTGTGTTTCCAGAGGCTTTGGTTATACTGGCCAGACCAGCGGGAAGCTCTGGGAAAGCTAATAGGATAAGACACTCCTGCCGTCTCCCTTGACCTGGGGCTCAGCATAGCTTCCTGGAGGATACAATGTAGAGGTCGAGAGAGTGGTGGTGGAGAAAGAGGAAGGGGCATTGCCAGTGGTGACACTATGTGTAGTAACAGCATTGGGAGCCTCTGATATGACTTTAGGATTTCTGCAGGGAGGAAGCACTTTCGTTGTGGACCAAGGGCACTGGGAGCTGTTTCCAGCTCATAAGTTTTCAGAAGGTTCTGGGTTCAAGGGCAGTGGTGGAGCATGTCTTTGATTTGACATGATTTCTAGAAGAGCCCAAAACCATTGCTGGCAACTACCCATGCTCCAGGCGATTGCACACATTGCCCTCCACTGTGTGGAGAGATATTAACTATCCTCTTAGATCAGCTGACATCACTCTCATGTCACAACAACAAACTCGTGGCCCTTTGATGTGGCCATACTCCATCCAGATGCTCCTGGCAAGTCAGGCAGGTGGGGGACATGAACTTGGGGGTGGCAAATACTCACTGGATCAGCACACAGGTGATAATCAGGACAGCCAGGGCCACAATGGAGACCACCACCAAGGCAGTGATGGCCTGCTTCTTCTGGCTGGCAGCCACAACAGCCAGGAGGTCTGCATGCTCACAGCGAGCACCCACATATCCAGAGTGGCAGCTGTGGGAGAAAGGAATGTTAGCCTGCTTCTGACAGAAGGGTTGCTTTACCCAAGCTATGCTGGAAGGTTCTGGGGCCTGCTGGACAAACCCCAAAGGGCTGCTGCATGCTTTGTGATTGGAGACACAGGCGTGAGGCAGTGACTCCCACTTCCTTGCCTTGGCGCTGCTCGCTGAGGGGAGGGGAAACTGACTCTTTCTTCACTGTTCTCACTGTCCTTAGACTAACTCTTGAGTGCTAATGGCAGCATTGAGGACAGGAACTTCATTTTGATAGGTGACGACACTGTGTGCGCATGTTCATGTGTGTGTGTGTGTGTGTGTGTGTGTGTGTGTGTGTGTGCTCACTTGTGTGTGATCCTGGTTCAGGTGCATGGGTGTGTGCACAACTGTCAATGTTGGGTGTCTTTCTCTATCACCCTCTGCCTTATTTTGGAGACGGTGTCTCTTGCTGTATCTGGAGTTCACCTATATGGCAGGGCTAGCTAGCCACCGAGTTCCAAGGATCCTCCAGCCTCTGTCTCCTCAGCTTTGGGGTTCTATACATTGCTACACACCCCCCACCCCGAAGCTCCATGGTGCTGGCCATCTGGACTCAGGTCTTCATAGTCTTGTGGCAAGAATTTTACCAACTAAGCTGTTTCCTCAGTTCCAAATTTAGGTGTTTTTTCTTTGTTTGCTTGAGACAGGGACCCTTTATGCAGGCTTGGGTGTCCCAGAACTCACTATGTAGATCAGGTTGGCCTTGAACTCACAGAGATCTGCCTGCCTCCACCTCCTAAGTGCTGAGATTAAAGGCATGTGTCATCATGCCTATCCCACAATCCATGTTATTTTAAAACCAAATTTGCTTATTTAGAATTTTGGATGAAAGAAACTACACTATCTGCATAGTCCGTGATTGGCTTTCCTGTCGTCACCATCAAATTTAATTAACCCCAAGGATATTTCCTGAGTCAGTGCATAGCCTGGTCCCTGCAGGAAGGGATGAGGGCTTGACACTGTCACCTGGTCACATCAGGGCTGGAGAAGCCTCTAAACTCCTCTGAGATCTTGTGTATCGGCATCCAGTGAAACATGCCTGAACTCTACACAATGAGCAAAGGTGTAAATGAGGTCAAGTGCGAACGTGCGTGCTGCCGCGTGCATTGCCAGCCCATTCATTACTGGACTTGCTGCACCCCCAGCTTCTCTGGCTCCATCATGCCAAAGGCAACCTCCTGTGCGCACAGGGTTGCTCGTTGAATGGTTCTTCAGGATGGACCTACCATAAGGAGACATGGGACACTTGCTTTCCTGTCATTCCTCCAAGCATATGACCTTTTTTTTCCCCAAGAAAGTGAACGAGGTGACACCCTGATCCTTTTTTAAAATCCTCAATATAAATATTAAGTTCCAACCCTCTCATTCAGTAAGCTTCCTTGAGGAGCAGCTCCATATCACACACTGAATTTGAATCTACAAATATATCTATATCTATATCTAACCAAGGCTAAGGTAGCTAATATTTTTAAGTCTATGCTTGCATTCCCTTGTAACTTGCAGTTGTCAGGTAAAAGGGCTTTAAAGAACAAAGAGCACAGAAAGGATCTTGGGCTTAATGGCCCTCTCTGGGCCATTACTGCTGCTGCTGGGCCAGGCTGGTTCCACAGCCATTCTGGGTGGGATCCCTGAGTCCTCTCCCCTCAGTCATCAGGCCCAGTTCTCAGAAAGGCTCGTGGAGTCACAGGACAAGAGGGCATGTTTGCTTAGATCATGGCTTTTGTCCAGGGCTAAACATCAGCATTTGGATGGTGAAGGGACCGATGGTGTAGGGGTTTAAGGCTAATGGCAGCCTGGGATAAGGGTTACACACCCTTCCCTGACTCACCCAAAGGTGGTTATTAGTAGAAACTCACATACTTGAGTTTATTGCTGTTTTGTTTTGAGACAAGGGCTGGCTCTGTAGCCTTGGCTAGCTCAAACCCATGATTCTCCTGCTTCAGAGTCCTAATGCCTAGATAATAGTGGTGTACAGTCAGACTTGGCTTCTTGCTCTTTGGTTGGGGTTATTTATGTTTTGTGTGTTTTCTCTTTAATCTTGTAATGAAAAAGTTAAGTCATGCTTTCCCTGCACTTGTTCTGGGGACTTGAAGGACATTTGTACGAAGTCCAAGACTGGGGTCTGGCTCCATCTCCTTTGCTAGGATGGTAAGCTTATGGTTTAGTGTCTTATCTTGAAATGTTGAAAAGATTGGAGTTTAAGTTGAACATGGTGTAAAGGGCTTGTGTCCTTGGTAAATAAGAAAGTCAGGCAGGGCTAACAGGGAAATAAAAGAATGATCTAAGGCTCTAGATAGACAGGCTGTCTACATTGATTCTCATGGGTCAGTGCAGTGGGATGGAGACAGGATTTTGTCTAATTAAAAAAAAAGAAAACTTAGGGGGAGGCAGAGAGGATACACAGCTCACTGGGTAGTCACTGGCCTTTCCCCTGGTGGCAGATTGGAGAAAACAACAGTGAACAGACACCACCCCCCAAAAACCCCAGGCTGGTTGGTGATCAGCTGGGCTACCCACAGTCTGAGTTGTCCATGTCTAGACAACATTAGACAGGTTCTCTTAGCCCCTTCTCAAGTTCTAACTCTGTGCCCAGATGCCCTTACTTTCCCAAGTCCATCTGAGTTAGAGGTTTTCTTTCTGTGATGCTTGACATCTCTTCCATGCAGGGTCTTAATCTACCCCCAACATCCTGCCAGTTCAAGTGGCCACATGGTCCCTACTAGCCCAGGGGTAGACATTTGCACAGGTGGCCACACATGGATGCTTGGACGCCTGGAATACAGTCCCTTACTCTCCCCACACTGCTTCCACAGACCACATTTTCCAAAAATGATGTGCTATCTACACTCACTCATTCACACGCTCACCAGCCTGTCCATTTCCCATGGCTCACTTACCGTCTCTCAGACCCTGTCCATCTTTGAACGCCTGCAGCCCCACCTGTGCCCACCCTTTTTCCCCAGCCCCTCAATCCTACAGGGCAGGCCTTGATCTACAAAAATGCCTATAAAGTAGTTCTTTATGAGTGGGGAAGGCGACCAAAAGTGACATCTCATCTTCTCTTTAATTTCTAGTCTTCTAATATTAGACTTAAATTATGCTGATTATTTTAAGCACAAGTCACACAAGGAGGGAGGAGTGTCACCTCACCTGGCCACAGATGAGTCACACCCTCACTCTGCTGCTGCCTTCACCTCTGGCAGGCACAGAAGAGTCACCTGGGAGTTCTAGAAACTGCTGGGTCTAAGGCCATACCCTCGGTCTGGCCACCTGGGTGATTCTAGCATAGGTACCGGCCTGAGAAGCACAGAGGTAGGACTGGCTTGGAATCTAGAACCAAGTTAACATGCATTGGTTCTTTCTCAGCCTCCCTTGTTTCTCCCCTTCCCTTCCTTCAGCAATTGCAGAGTGATAGCTGCAAGTATACCCATGAGCCAGGCACTGGACAGGAGAGATAAAGAGGGCTGCACCTCCCTTTATGAGAAGAATCGGAGTGGCATGAGCTTTATTACAAAGGTGAGAGTGGCACCTCCATCATGGGGCCATTTACACACACACAGAGGTCTGCAGGGCCTGACGCAGTTGCTTGTCGATACACACTTCTGAAGTGTTGTCTGGCTTCTGTGATTCAGACCCTTTTCAGGTTGCTTCCCCATAATAAGAACAAAAAAAAGGAAGAGAAGAGAGGGTGGCTGGCCGGACTGTAGACTACAGGGCTGCAGATGAGCATCGAAAGCCCCCATTCTCCTGGGCCTCCCAAGGGCTGGGGGCTGGGCTGTGCCTGCTGGTGGTTAAGGCTGTCAGTTGCCTTGGAGCTATTCCTAAGAGCAGTGCCTTGGCTTCAGGTCCCTCTGTTTTAACCGTCTACGACATCTCTCTTGCCCCTCCAAGGATAGCTTGTGGGTCACCCTAAGTTCCTACTCCTTCTGGCTTATCATGCTCTTTGAAAACATTATGAAATATGAAAACCACAGCTGCCAAATGTTGAGGTTTTCCTTAAGGAAAAATTTCCCTGACTAGAAAAGGAATGCTTTAAGCACATTGGGAGGTATAGGAAGTAGAATAAACATAGAGAGGTCCATACTACTGCCATGGTGCCAGTGTGTGTGTATGTCACTAACTAAAATTCATTGCATAAATGTCCGAAGCTGTAATATATTTAAAGATAGAGGGGGAAGAGAGAGAAAAACAAACAAACAACAAAAAACCCAGTAAGAAGAGAAACTTCAAACCAGAATCTCAAGTTCTACCTAGCTGAGGATGTATCTCGGTTCAATTCCCGGCAATACAAGAAAAAAAAAAAAAAAACCAAACCAAACAAAAATCCTTTGAAAAGCCACTTTCAATGGGGCACAGTCATTTCTGCACTTTAGTTTCACCAAATTCTTTCCGCCCAGACGGTGGCGGGTGTGATATGTAACCAAGGCTGGACATTATCTCTGTACGCAAAGATACTTTGCTTGTATTTCAGATTACACCCCCAGGACAGGAGCTCAAAGGTATACACAACTTGGAACAGGCTCTGTAGCCAAATTGGCCTGCATTCAAAGCCGTTTCTTCACTTCCTGTCTGTGTCACCTGGAGCCAGTAACTGCTCTTCACCACAGACTGCATCTTGAAGATGAAGCACAGGTAAGATCTGCCTCCCAGGTAAGGGCACCAAAGGAGCCTTGTGCATTGAGGTAAGCAGTGCCAAACCCAAGGCACGCTGCCCTTCTGTTAAAGATGAAATTAAACAGCAGGGAGTGGATGGGGAGATGGCTCAGTTGGAAAGGGCTTGCCTTGCACTTTGAGAGCCTGCGTTTGATCCCCAGAATCTATGTGCGGAATCCAGTCAAGGTGATGAGTGCTTGCAATCCCAGCAGACAGGCAGATTCCTGGATGGGCTCCAGGCCAGTGAGAGATGCTGTCTCAAAAGTAAAGTAGGATTTGGAGAGATGGCTTAGGTGGTACAAGTTCTTGCTATGCAGGAGGATCCGAGCTTGCACCCCCAGAACTCATGTGAAGCTGGGCCTTGAGTATGCACTGGGAAGGCTCAGGGGCATCACTGGGCTGGCTGGCTGGCAAGCCTAAGCAACTTGTTCATTATGAGGTCAGTGAGAGACCTTGTCTCAAAACACAAGGTGGGCTGGAGAGATGGTTCACTTGTTTAGAGCACTTGCTGCTGCAGAGGACCCAAGTTCGTTTCCCAGTTCCCACACTGTCCCTCACAACTGCCTGTAACCCAGGGGAATCAACACCACTCTCTTCCAGCCTTTGAGGGCAGCCGCATACACACAAGGCACACACAGCACACAAAGTATTTAACACACACACACACACACACACACACACACACACACACACACACACACACACACACACACACACACTTCTAAATGTACCCTGTTCAGTCTG